AACATCTTAGGAGTTAGTGTAGTGAGTTTCAGAGCAGTTTAATAATTATTTGACCTAAAACTAAATGTTTTTATGAACATGGGGATTTGCTAACTTTTGATTTCCCCTATTTTACACGACACAAATGGAGGCCACTATGGGCCACAACTAACACGTAGGTTTCTGTAGGGTTCATGGCAGACGGATGCAGTTGTTCTCAGCAGGATATATAATAAAGGTGTGTTAGCTGCTGAGCCTATTTAGTGTGCATACGACACACCTGGCACAGTTTATTCATTTCACACGTAGCGTAGCGCGTGCATGTCGTCTTCCAATCCTTTTGTCAATCCTTCTTAACCGCCTTCGCTTCCGAATCAGCATTGCTATTGCATTTGACTGGTCGACGTTCTGTATTTGTGTTTGCTTAAATAACTCAGACGAAGCTCATGTCTGAGGTCGGAAGGTAAACAGACGCCTCATTTACAGCAAGTGGGCGCGGCAGGTTTTTCTTCTTCTTTTTCTCTCGTTTTTTTGGCAGATTGCAACTTTAAGGTGCATACCGCCACCTACTGTACTCGCCGTGAAGTGGTTTGCGGCCTGCCACTAAACCCAAAGCAGAAGAAGAAGAAGTGACGTCAGCGGTTCATTTGCCTAATCCACCCCCAGGAACTCATTTTGGTGTGAACGCGATCTGCTTTAGTTCATCAGAACTAAAAGAGCTCTCATGAACTAAAGTTCTCATGAATTATTGTGGGAAAAGTACTTGGTGTGATGCGCCTATTGACTACAAAGTCTTTGAAGATCTGGAAAGATTCACCAAAAACCAAAGTAGTTTTTCAGTGACCAAATAAACAGCAATGTTCAGATCAATTACTTATTTATGTTTTAAATAAAGGTGAATGTATTATTGTATTAATATCACCCTATAACCATAATACGTTACATAGTCTATCTGTTAATTTTGGCTGTCTTTTCAAACTAAAATGGTCCTGACGTCCTCTACAGTGGACATACTGTAACATTTAAAAATAAAATTAAAGAAGTCTAAATTGCAAGATGTTTTTTCAACCCTAAATAGGTAGGAAATCACAAAAAAAAGGAAATTGGAAGAAACTTTTTTTCCTCGGGTGCCAGGAGAAAAAGTCAGGATTTTGAGGAAAAAGTCAGAATTTTGAGATTTTTTGAAAAAAGTCAGGATTTTGAGAAAAAACTAAATTTTAAGAAAAAAGTCAACATTTTGAGATTTGAAGAAAAAAAAAACATTTGGATAAAAGTCTGAATTTTGAGATTTTCAGGAAAAAGTCCAGATTTTGAGATTTTGAGGGAAAAGTCAGCATTTTGAGAAAGAAATCTGAATTTGGAGAAAATAATTCAACATTTTAAGAAAAATGTCAGGATTTGGAGATGTGGAGAAAAAATTCAGAATCTTGAGACATGGAGAAAAGACATCAGAAAGTGCATTTTGCATGATGAGACCTTTAAGACAGTTTGGATATGTTCACATGTGGAGATACATGTTATCTTGTGTTTAAAATCAGTTTATGTGTATCGAGGGGCATGTATTTTATGGTCAGAAGCAGAGATGGGGTCGTTACTAAAAAAAAGTAATATATTACATATTACATTAAAAAAAAGTAATATATTACACTACTTCGTTACTCTTTACATAAAGTAACTCGTTACTTTACTCGTTACTTTACTCGCAGGGCCGGCCCGCCCCTCCCTACAGGCAGATCACGCAGACTGCTAAAGTTTCAAATGTTCTCTTTAGTTCAGTTTTCATTGTCGCATAAGACTGATCCAGATAGCTCTGACTATGGCTGTCCTCTGTCTCCTGCTATCTGTATTTTGCGCAGTATATCTCTGAACGATGCGATGGTGATTCCACTGTGCAAATGGGCAACATTACCTCTACTCAGTGGCGGCCGGTGGTCTTTTTTTTTGGTGGGGCTCTTGACGTACCGCAAGTGACCTACCCGGGGGGTTTCCCCCCGAATTTTTTTTTCGAGAAATGACCCCTTAAATGATGACTTCTGGTGATGTTAGAGGGGGGGGGAAGGAGAAATCGAGGCTTAAAAATATGAGAAGACTGATCAATACCTCCATAATCTTCAGTGTGGAAAATATTATTTATCAACCTGAACATCTACTACTTTACCAGGAATTTGTGTTCTCAGAACTGGTCTGTTTTTTTCTTTCTTAAAACTGTTCATGTTTTATGAACCAACACCTTCACCAAGTAGCTTTACAGTGAACTGCATGTGAGATATAAAATTAATAGCATCTTTTCAGTAGCATTAATTATAAATATTTAAGTGGTTCAATACAAGTCACTACAGCATTTCAAACTGAACTGTGAATAAATGCAATTTAAAAAAAATAACCACAGCACAAAATGTCATAAATTGTGTTTTTTCTTTGTTTCTCTGAGGATTATTTACAAACAGGCTTATTTACATATATCAATAACTCAGAAATGAAAAAGCTACATCGTCTAACACGAACAACCAGTTAGCATAATGATAATATATGTGTTATGTACAATGTATCTGGCAAGGCTAGAGCAAGAAAGAACATAAAGTTTGCAAAAGGTTTAAATAACTTCAAGTATCTGTCTTCAGATTACGTGGAGGTTTTAGTCCGATGGGAAGCAGATTTTAAGCGACACCGAAGATAAACCAAAAATGTGGTGGAGCTGCAAACCGTGTAGTGTTGCTGGGACAGAACAGGAGCTATAACCGTTGGAAAATACATCACAGACAATGCAACAAACGTGGAGACAGAACAATCACTTCTGTGATAAATGCCCACTTATTAATAAACTTCTAACAACCATGGGAAACCTCCTCTCTACATATAAAGTGATATCCAAGCATGGGAAACAAAAGACAGCATTTACCTGTTTGCATCCAGCTAGCCAAGCCTTTCTTGTGTACCAGCTACTTGTGAAGCCTCGTGTATAAATGTTGTCTTTTTCACGAGATTGCTGCGATATATTCAAATCGGGTTGGTCCGGTGCAAGGTCTTTAAGCAACAATTTATCTGCCAAACTTCTCCTTTCGAAAGGATTGGAGATTAGCTCTTGAACAGAATTAGGCGCGGACCGAGGTCCGGAGACTCCACCTGCACACGAAGCCATCCTCATCAACTACTGCGTCAACCGGATACGAGTCACTGTCCAAACTACTCACAGACTGCACTGGGCGCTGACATTGGCGCCCGGTGACCGTCATCTTTGACGACGCTAATTGGCTGAAATTATATTTTCGCGGCATAGTTTACACGTTACAGATAGCAACAGTCAGCTGCTAGTGGCTGCTGCTGCACTGGTTGAAGGCTCCTCTCTTAGCGCCCAGACGAGAGAAGGTGCATGGGCAAGGCCAGGCAGGAAACATGTGACTTATCAGTAACTTTAGACATCGTAACACAATTTTAAACGAGATTTTATTGTAGATTATACATTTTACTGATACCAATTATATAATATTTACCTTGTTCATTAAAAATAAAAATAAAAACATATATATTTTTTTAAAACATATTTTTTTTTTTTTATTTTAATTTTAATTATTATTTATTTTTATCAATATGGGAAGAGGTGGGGCGGCGCCCCTAGCGCCCCTATGGACCGGCCGCCACTGCCTCTACTATGAAGGATGCTTCAAGCCTGTCCATCTCTGCTTTGGTTACCAGTCCTCCAAATTCTTGCGGCGGCGCACTCACAACATCCTCACTCTGGGTTCGGGGGTCCTTAGCTATTAGCTTCACCTTAGCATGTGTTCTTTGCAGGTGTTTGTTGAGGTTTGACGTGGTGTTTGCAGCAGTGGATAACAGCTTCTGGCCTGGACACAGTTTGCACCTCACCGTCACATTCCTGTCTATTCTTCGGACAAACTCAAAATAATGGGCATACCTCCACCCCTCGAAAGTTATCGCTGACTCAGCCATGTTTATGCAGCACTGCAGGAGATGTGGACGCGCAAGTCGCGCAGATTACGTACATATAAACCTGCGGCGGAAACCCCTCTTGTCTGTCAGTGTGATTATGACTGATTTTATAAAAGTAACGAAGTAACGCGTGTCGGGGCAATGTTAGTAACTGTAGTGTGATTACTGAATTATAAAAGTAACGCGTTACACTACTCCGTTACCGACAAAAGTAATATTATTACAGTAACGCGTTACTTTGTAACGCGTTACACCCAACTCTGGTCAGAAGTGTGTCGGGGTCATTGCACATGAATTACATTTGGAGTTGTATTAAATAATGTTAACTGGAACAGAAAGCCTGAGCAGTGAGACATCAGAACGTGTTCAGCTCTGAGGGGAATCGTTTTTCACATGTGTTACATTCCCTCCTGGACTAGGGGTACAAAGGGAAGGAGCAAAATATAAAAATAACCAGGAGAGAGAAAAAAGAGAGGAAACACAAGGTGATATTTTAATTAGTCAAAAAGTAAAAACCAGCCAATTCGCAACGTAAACTAATGATAAACAAAAAAAACGTTCTTATTAAAGAAAGTGACTAAAGTACACTGGAGCACATCTAACAATTAATAAAACACAGGTTAAACTCTAAGGTCTCACACAGAGACACCACACAAGCTGCACGTCACACATGCAGCCAAAGGAGAAGGGAGAGAGAGGGTGTTTCTCAATCGCGAGTACGCTTGCTTGGTAGCACATGTCTGCCGAGCATCTTGCTTCAGAAGCGAGTCAAGAATACTTCCCGACATTTGGAAAACGAAGAGTGGAACACGCTAGCAAGTGTGCAGGTGTGCGTCATATGAGAGGCCCCGCCTCTTACATTTTCCGCCACAGATTTGGGGAAATTGGTCCGTGCGCAAAGCATTGTGGGGATTTTAAGACCGCGGAGTCTACACATGTGCAGCCTCGAAATTTCTCCTAACGAAGTACGCCGGGCTCGGTAGATTTCCAAGTATGCTGGAGATTGGAACAGTACTTCGGCGGCACTTGATGACGTAGTATGCTTGAAATAGTGGCTCTGCAGCAGCTTTACTCGCGATTGAGAAACACCCAGAGAGACTGCAGCCTTCCTCAGGTCCTTTATGGAGGCCCTGATTGGGGATTGGGAGCACCTGAGGGAGAGGCTGCACCTGGAGGGAGACACACACAAACACACCACGGCACGTAACACATGAATGCTGCAGAACTCCCCTTCAGATGTTCTCAGGGTCTGCCATTTTGATGATTCTGTTTCCTTGTATTTCAGCCTCCACTGAGAGCGGTATTATTTTAAGGAGATCTTTGTCAAAGCCTTTCTTCAGCTGGAAGCCGAGAGTTTTCGCCAGAAGTCGAGACGCCACGATGAGCGTGAGCAGCTTCGCGTCTAAATCCACCTCCAGTTGAGTCTCCTTCAGCGTGGCTTTCTTGATCCCTCTAATCTTGAGAGTCACTTTCCGGATGCCGACACTTTGAACCTGCATGAAGACACGTTAACGGTCAATGTTCAGGACGTGAGAAAACATCAAATAAAGTCTTCAGATTAAGGTGAGGAACACCAAAAATCGTTTATAAATGTGCTATATAAATAAAACTTGATTTTATTTTGGGGGCTATTTAGCTTCTATATGATGTCTTCTGTGGAACAAGCCGCCTGGAAAAATCATTTTAAACAAAAGCTCTTTTCAGGTTGGCCTTGTATCAGCAGCATCACCTTTTAATTTGATTTCTAATCATTATTATTCTTATTTATTCATTTATTCATTTATTCATTTTGCCTTATGTCGTCCTTTATTTTAACCGAGAGGGATCATTACTTATTTCATTGTATTTTATTTGTATTATCACTGTACAAAGATGGAGTACTCGAGTGCTGATTTTCGGGACTCGTGACTCGACTTGGACTCGTGAATTCTCGCGCACGATGACTTGGACTCGGACTTGTGAATTTTTCCCCCCACGATGACTCCGACTCAACTTGTACATTGACGCTCCGACTTGGACTCGGACTCGAGCAAGTTTTCTCTGGAGTCTGATGTCCTCTATCCTGGCGTGTGCACCTGCGAGGCGAGTTCACATACTGGGCCCCGCTGTTCCAGTCTAAAGATGTCTAGAGACACACCCCGCATCGTGCTGTATGCTTTCACACATTCTGCTTCCACATTGGAAAAGAGCAGCGCAAAATGCTCGTTATGTGGAAACAATATTGAAGAGAAGGCTCCGTAACACATTACTCTAAGGATCGAGTTCAGACATATAGGCTGAACACTATCATCAGAGTAACGTGATCTAATCAATAAATAAAGATTCAGCCGATAACACGAAAGCACATGGCTACTTAGCATGCAGAATGACTTCATTTTGCATGCTAATGCTGCGTTCACCACCGGACGCGATGCGATGTTTGGGGGCGGCGCGATTACATGTAAAGTCAATGCAGAGACACGGACAGACGCAAATTCGCTCCGACGGCGAGCATGAAGCGGTGGACGCGGCGCGAATCACGTGATTGAGGCGATTGAACGGTGCCGCATTAAACGCGAGAGTTCAATTTTTTCAACTCGAGCGTCAAATTCACGTGACGCGTTCTCGCGGAAGCCAATCAGCGGTGAGGATCTCAGCCTGCCGTCACTGACGTTCAACCACACAACATCAGCCGTTAGCTGTTAGCTGTTAGCACTCAGAGCTCACAGCTCCTCATATCTGTTCAGAAACTGGACAAAAGTTAAACAAGTACAAACCACAGACTGTCTGTGTCATGGTGAATACAGTCGCTGCTTTATTTATGTCTGTAGGCCGTTGTTATGAGTGTGGAATGAGCATATACAACGTTAGCTTAGCCTGGTCGACCCGATCTTCATTCAGAAAACAAGCATTTTAAAAGGTTTTTCGCCTGCCGTCTGTCTGCAGACTTGTCAAAGCATTAATTCATGGTTTTTACTAACCGGTATCAGTATGTTGTTACTTCGGCATCATTTAGAACTGTGTATTACAATTTAATCACGGTAAAATATGTTCATTTTGTTGTAGTTGTAGCTCCCGAGCCAGCGCGTCTTGTTTGAATGATGCGAGTAAACACAGCTGGCAGCCGCGGTGAAACTCGAGCGTTTAGAGCGACGCGATAGGAGCGATTAGAGCCAAGCGAATATTCGCATCGCGTCCGGTGTGAACGCAGCATAAGTAGCCATGTGCTTTCTGGGGCTTAATCTTTATTGATAGAATTTAAACATTCACTATAATAATTGTAGCGTTCAATGATGGTCGGACTCTCTAACTGATGGTATCTGTTTATTGATCACCCTTGCTTTTATATAATCATTACCAAGGTAAGAGCTTGTGCCCTTATCAGCCAGGTGCTAAAAACCCAATGTAACTATTTAGTATATGTTAATTTATTCGTAATCTATCCGTCATTATACATGTGTTTACACTGCTCCGTTGTCCATTGACTTCCGGTAAAAGTTCCTTCAAAATAAGAGTCCCGATCTTATTACTATCAAAATAAAAGTGCAAAACGAAAACTTTACCATAAGAAAATATTGTCATACAAATATAATCACTTCTCTAAAAGGTAACTCATTTTAAATATAGTTAGACATATTAAAGGTAATTTACAATAATAATATTAATAAGCTTTATATTTGTATAGCACCTATTACAAGACTTGTAGCCAAACTGGCTTCACAGCAGTTCAATAGACAGATTAGTATAACATGACAGGATGAAAGCAATGTAGAGGAGCAGCTACATTTCAACACATATATCCACGAAGATTAATACATGAAGACTTGTGACTCGGACTTGGACTCGGACTCGAACACAGGTAATGATGACTCGGACTCGACTCGGACACTCCTTGGGTGACTCGGACTTGGACTCGGACTCGACTACGACTCTCCCTTGGTGACTCGGACTCGAAGAGTGGTGACTCGAGAGTGACTTGGACTCGTGAATTCGTGACTTGACTACAACACTGTCACAGTCAGAATTTTGTGATTTTGAGGAAAAAGTCAGAATTAGACATTTTGAGGAAAGCTGTCATCACAGATTAAACCTGTCTGACTGGAGGCTGCAGGTACCTTGATTATTTTGGTGAACTTAGATGAGTTGAGAGACACTTTCCCAGAGTATGTCATGTTGTTAAGAAGAAGGACGTCTCCGACTGAAAGGCCTTTGCTCTGCTTGGTGGCCTCGCCCCACATGGTGACGCTGATTTCCTCAGCTTCCTGTTTCAGTTTGAACCTTTGATGATTCGTCATCTTCTCCTTCACCTTCACTTTTATGACAGGATCAATCTGAATAAAAGCAGTAGAGAAAGCACAACAATGATTTATATTTCACAAAATGTTTAAACAAACTGCCTTTGTTTTACAAATAGAATTGATCCATTAGTTTATCTTTAGTTATCCGTCAATAAATAGGTTTATAAGATCTTGAAAAGGCATTTAAAAAATGTAAAAGACACATTTGTTGAATGCATTACCAACCTAACCAGGCTCCATGAAGTAGGTCTGCAGTTTGAACTCACCTTGGAGACGGTTCCTTCAACGCTCACGTGTGTCTGGGGACGAGATGATTTGATGTCTTTAATGGAGGTCAGTGGACTCTCAGGATACAGCAGTCTCTCAGCTTCTCTCTCGAACTCCTCCGGGATGATGACAGGTTTTGTTACTGACACGCTGCTCGATGCGTTAACCTTCACATATATTCCATCTATTATTAGATTCCTGAAGATGTAGGACTTCCCCTCTTTGATTTGTCGATGGTGATCTTTTCCGTACACCATCAGTTTGACGCTGGCCGTCTCGTCAGCGACGCCCAGAAAAAAATAAAACGTCTTTATCTTGGATGTGATCAGCTCGGATTTTTTAACAACTTTCCCAATAATTGCTTCCGTCTCAAGAATTCCACTGGATTTTAGATCAAAGATGGATTTCCTCTGCACACAAAGAAAAGAAAAGCCTCTCAATGAACTCAGCTTTGAGACAGTAAATGTCTCAAAGCTGTCAGTGATAAATAAGAAATAAGCATTTACCCATGGAGCTTTTCCATCCTGGGAGTCACGAGTCTTCAGTTTCTAACAGGGCAGGAAGAAATATGTTTACTTTATATCACACAAAGGTTTTATGGCCGTGACTCTTTAATGATGAATGTTGTGAGTTGGGTAACTGCGGTGGCCGACAGGTGCCACCACGTCTCAAACCTCTTCCTCTCCAACTCTTACCTTGACAGATTGGCTTCTATCCAGCTGATCTTTAACAGGAGAAACAAACATCACTCAGGGTCTCGTGATCAATCAGACTTTCAGCTTAAAATATGTCTCGTTAAGACACCCAGCCCACCGGCAGCGCTAACAGAACTGAACCTAAGGTGTTAAACAACGGACGATGCACTTGATGTGATTGGCCCTGGGAGCTCAATGTGTTTAAAGTGAGGTCAAATCTACCAACACTTCACCTACCTGCTGCAGGACGGGTTCCCTCCTCCAGCTCCTTCTTACGTCTCCTCTTCTTCTCTGAAACATTTAAAACATGATTTACTCAGCTGAACACGATTGTTCTACACCTATGTTTATTATGTAGCAGCTCATAGAGTCCTGTTGTGAACCCGGACATGTTGAGACCCCAAAGTCTTATGTTAGAAATGTAGAGTAGGGTCCCCAGCAGGGACGTGCACAGGTACGGGCTAATGTTGCCCGGGCAACGGCCCGTTTGCCCTTTTTGTCTGACCTGCCCCTCTGGAGAGAGCGAGAGTTTTTTTTCTTTTTATGTTGTGGCCGAATCAACATGAGAAGCCCACAATTAGTATTGTAGCGTCTCGCTGCGGGACACACAACTTGTCAGCGCTGTCGTCTGCCCCCAGTCACGTGACTTTGTTTACAATCTGACAGCTGGAAGCAAAGGAAAGCCCTCCGGCCTCATACGGCTATGGTGATCATATCAAATGCCTGCCTGGTTTTGGTGGCCAATCCCCGGGTCAATCTGTCCCCGGAAATGTCCCCGTTTTTAAATATGCTTTAAAAACACAAAGCAAGGTGAAATCAAATTGGAACAAAGTTGATGTTTCAATGACGTGGTGCTCGTTCGCAGCAATACCATTATTGTAGCCTTAGCTTTAGCATTTAGCGTTAGCAGCTTCATTCTTCTTCTACTACTTATTTTACTACTTCTTCTTCTTCTTATATGTAATTGCCCGAGAAATGTTTAATGAAGAACTCGTTCCAGTGTGAACTCATTCCACAGTTTGACCACAAAAGTGTTTTAAACCAGGTACGTTGTTATTATGTATGTTCTATATCGCTAAGTGTGTGATTACACATGTTACGTATTATATATATAATATGTATGATACTGTATTGGTGCCGGTGCGTTAAGACCACCTCTAGTGTTGCATTTTGGGAAATTGATTTAGAGTTTTCTCATGGGAGTTAGAGTATAGGGGGCAAACCAGGGGACTTTACTTCCTCTTGACACCGTCGGTTATTTACAAAAAAACACCTAAATATACTTGTTATTGTGCTTCTGTCTTTCTGTGTCTTTGCATCTGTAAACTCCCTCAACGGGCCACTCGCTCTCTTCTCTTGATCGCCCTCTCATATACGGGAGAACACTTCACTACCCCACTTTATTGTATGATTTCTGCCATGTCTCTACCACTTTAATTTGATTATCTGCGGGAATAAGAGGGAAACAGAAGGACACTTTACAAACGTAACATTTTAAAATGTCAACCTCACAGTAACACACATTTGGCATGCGTATTAGTCATTTGTATGCATGTTAACGTACTGGTGTTGTCAACTGAAGAAGCCTGAACCGGGTGTGGCAAGAATATGTTCTTCAGCTCAGGGTAAGTCTCCTGGATACCCTCATCAGTTTGCAGGAGGTTCAGGAAGGCTTGGCAGGTCCCCTCTCCTTTGTTCATGATCTTATCCACCAACGCCAAAACGTGGCCCTCTTCGTTCTCTTTGTTGATGCTTTTCAGATTGTTGTACTCACGTTGAGTTATCAACTTGTTCTGCTCAGCTTTGTTGAGGATTAAACTGTAGTCTGCGACCAAAGTTTCCACAATGGATGTCTTCTTACTTATCAAAATGTCCTTGGCTGCCATGCTGAATCTGACAGGGAGAAAAACAACACGCATAGTAAATATATTGGTCTATTTTTTTTCATCATAATCTGGCACCAAAAATAAAATGTATCATTTTTTGATTTACTCACGAGTTAAAAGCAACAATAAAAGCAGCAACACCCTTCAGAATGAATCGATATCGCTTTAAAATGTAGTTTAACTATCTAGATTGAATCCATGCTAACCTGCTATACATCAGCTAACTTTTAGAACTACTTAATAATAATAATAATAATAAATTGTATTTATAAAGCACCTTTCATTGCTAAAAGCAATCCCAAAGTGCTACAGGAGGTGTAAGAAACAAATAAAAGAAACAAAAGTTTAATCAAAGGCTTTTTTTAAAAGAAAGGTTTTGAGGGCTTTCTCAAAGGCGACAGTGGTCTGTGGAGTCCTCAGGTGGTCTGTGGAGTCCTCAGGTGGTCTGGGGAGTCCTCAGGTGGTTAGGGAGGGAATTCCACAGGTGAGGAGCAGCTGCACAGAAAGCCCGATCGCCCATTGTGCAGAGTTTGGTCCTGGGGGGGCGAAGCAGATGGTTTGTTGTGGAACGGAGGTTGCGTGTGGAGGGTTGTGATGTGAGTAGTTATTTTAGGTATGATGGCGGAGCATTCCCGTGGATGCACTGATGGGTGAGCAGTGCGATCTTGTATTTGATTCTGAATGAGACAGGAAGCCAGTGGAGGGAATAAAGGACGGGTGTGATGTGGTTGTACTTTCTCACCCTCATCAGGATCCTGGCGGCACTGTTCTGTACCTATTGGAGCTTCTGAAGGCTCTTGCCAGGAATCCCGATGAGGAGAGCGTTACAATAGTCAAGCCTTGAGGAAACGAAGGCATGGACCAGCTGTTCAGCATCTGACAGGAGTTTAGCAATGTTCCTGAGGTGGTAGAAGGAGGCTTTGCACAGGTGTTTGATGTGGGTGTCAAAGGTCAGATGTCGGTCAAATCTTACACCCAGGTTGGTAACTGATGTGGAGAGGGGTATGTTCTGGCCAGAAAAGGTGATGTGGGTTATGGGGGATGACTGGACCTGGTTTGGTGTGCCAACTAAAATAGCCTCTGTTTTGGAGCTATTTAGCTGCAGGAAGTTTTGTTGCATCCAAGCCTTTATCTCCTCAATGCAGGTGTTAAAGGATGTTGATGGGAACGGTGACGATGATGGTGACAGTGACGATGCATGTGGGATTGGGTCTGTCTTTATATATAGCTGCGTGTCATCAGCGTAGCAATGGAATGATATTCCATGCTTGCTGATGACACGGCCAAGGGGCAGAGTGTAAAGGGTGAATAGAGTGGGCCCGAGGACCGACCCTTGAGGGACACCACAGGTGACAGGGTGTGTCTGGGACCTCGCACCTCCCAAGGAGACGTACTCTGTTCTTCCAGACAGGTAGGACTGGAACCAGCTCAGGGCGGAGTCAGAGAGTCCGATGGTGTATTGGAGGCGATGAAGGAGGATGTTATGGTCGACAGTGTCGAATGCTGCAGTCAGATCCAGGAGGATGAGGAGAGATGGGGAACCAGTGTCAGCCGCCATCAGCAGGTCGTTTGTGACCCTGACCAGAGCTGTTTCAGCGCTGTGGGCGGAACGGAAACCGGACTGGAATTTTCAAAGAGGCCGTTTAGTTGTAGATGGTCCTGAAGCTGGGCGGCAACTACTCTTTCCAGCACCTTGGCTAGAAATGGGAGGTTGGAGATGGGCCTGTAGTTACCAAGGACGTCTGGGTCTAGGGTGGGTTTTTTGAGAAGGGGTCTGATGACGGCAGTTTTAAGAGCAGATGGAACATGACCAGCCTTGAGGGAGCTGTTGATGACGTCGGTGATCATGGGACTTATAGCCGAGATGTTCGATTTGATAAGGGCTGTGGGTAGAGGGTTTAATGTGCAGGTGGAGGGTTTCATACTGCGGATGATGTCCTCAACCTCTTGCTGAGAGATCTCCGTGAAGCAACAGAGCGGTTGGAAAGTCCCATGCTGTGGGTTGACAGTAGGGACAGACACAGCGCAGGGGGTGGAGAGAAGAGAGCGAATAGTGGCAACTTTTGTCCTGAAGAAAGCAACAAAGTTATTGCACTGCTCTTCTGTTGTGTCGATGTGTGAGGGAGTTTGTGGCTTGAGGAGATGATCAACAGTAGAGAAAAGCTGCTTGGAGTTTCCAGGATTTTTACTGATGATGTCGGAGTAGAACTGTGTCCGTGCTTTTTTGAATGACTTTGAATAGGTTTTTTGATGATCCTGATAACAGCTAATCTGTGAACAGTGAGTCCAGATCGTGCAGGACGCCGCTCGAGTACACGCCGAGCTGCCTTCATGCCACGTAGCTCTGAAGTGAACCAGGGGGCTGAGCGTGAGAAGCTGACTGTTCGCGTTTTCAGTGGGGCGTGGAGATCCAGGACAGTACTCAGGGTTATTGTAGAATTCCACTGATTCACTGACTGTTGTGAAATGTACAGGGGGGGGATTTGCTGCATGTCAGTAGTGTTACCAATCCCGCTTCAATCTCATTAGTATGCATAAAAAAGTGACAGGTCACACCTTCTAAGTCCCGCCCCCTAATTATGCTAATGAGCCCCCTTTGATATGCTAATGAGCCCCTTTGTTCGAGGTGTTATCGCGTACAGGTGTTACATCCTCCCGGTAGCCCCCACCCCTCTCAGCCCCCACCCCCCTTAGCCCCCACCCCTTCTCAGCCCACCCCCCTCCCCCTCACATACAGGTGTTACATCCGCCCTGTAGCCCCCACCCCTCTCAGCCCCCACCCCTCTCAACCCACCCCCTCCTCTCCCCTTACAGTAGGCGTCACATCCTCCCTGTCGCCCCCCACCCCTGAAGATAGTGAGGGGGTGGAGTCAGTCATAAAAAAAGAAATCTATGCAAAACTAGATAAAAGTCAGTCATTTGAGCTTTGAAACAAATTGATATGATTCGATATTAAACCAACTAATTATAGTAGATTAATTAACTATTCAAACGTGTACAGTAATTTACAATAACACGGGAATAATAAACGGGTCAGCAACAGCGGGTCTCTCCCGTCAGATTAGACTTTACTAGATTAGACTTTACTAGCGTTTATACCCATATCGATCAGATCTAGCTAGTTCTAGCTAATGATATGACTACCTGCTTATTAAAAGACACCTAAACAATAAGCGTCACTATGCAACGGGGTGAGGCCACAAAGTATAGTACAGCATTATGCATTTTGTTTACATGCCCACCGGAACCCCGAGGCATTACCAACAGATCGCGCAATCAACCCATACAGGACATCTCTTGCTACACATTATGTGTAGACATTATAATTGACTATTCTTGTCTGTCACATACTCTTTTGTCTGTCACACACTATTCTTGTATGTCACATAAGTGGCGCAACTGATGCGGTATTGCGCTAAAGGGGGCCAGTCAAGAAACGGGTGCAGTATCTGTGCCGGGTTCAGACCCTCCGTCTGAGGCTCTTCATGAAAAATGGAGTCTGGGTGTGTGAGACTGTCTCCCCTCATACCCCCTCCCACGACCTCCCCTCCCCCCTGCCTGTCACCTCCTGATCTTGCGATCAGCTGTTAATTCTCATTCACTTTTATTGGAATTGGGTTTTCTTTAGAGCTGTTTTCAGTGAGACAATGCAGTTTCTGATCATTTTAAGTTTCAAGTTTCAAGGCTTTATGGCATATGCCCATTAGCTACAGTGTAGATATGTCAATGAAAAACATAGGTCACAGGCTCCTCCAACAGTGCACATAAAACAGATAAAATACTGCAATTTGTGCGTAATTCTCTCACAAAGGAACTGTAAGATACACGTTTATGTATGGAAAACTATATAACTTGGTAAAATATTCATTCATTTGTAATGAATTGAGTTTTCTTCAAGAATCAAACTCTAAATGGAGAGTTTGTGATTTTAACACTGTTTCGATGAAACAATGCAGTTTTGATAACTTGACTTGACTAACATTACTTTTTTAAATATATGTTTTTTAGATGCTTTACTTTTTGATTTCTTTCATATTATTTTAACACAACATTACTTTTTTCATATTTTTCAACATACTGTGATATATATATATATTTTTTTCTCTCCATTATATTTTTGAATATACAGTGATTTTTATCAAAATACAACATGCAACTATTACATTATACAATATTACGACTTTTTGCGATATTTTCAACACAATATACTTTTTTTTTTTGTAGGGCTTCAGGATATTTGGCATGTCATGCCTAAAACCGGTGTCATCTTTCCTGAAACTGACGTGCTGTCCGTTTTACAAACAAGTTATCTTTCTGCTTCTTCCCCCTATGAATTTTCCTCCCCCGTCCCTCTTACTACAGCCATCACAACAGCAACCAAGTCAGATCTGTGAAATTAAACACCTCTTCCCAAAGCGTGACTTCCCTATTGAGGGAGTGGGGCAGTGGGGCCTAACCCGATTTGGCCAAATATACTAACATGCAGAACATATGGTATGTTTGAAAAAAGACTAACCATCTATCCAGTTCAAGCTGTCTTTAAGATGTGACATTGCGCTCTGACTTTTCCCCGTAAAATCGTGACAAACTATTACTTATTAAATTTGACCTCATGCTGCTTGGTTGAAAATGATAGATGAGCATTTACCAACAGATCAACGCGCAATCAACCCATACAGGAGATCTCTTTCTACACATTATGTGTTATCACTATAATATTATGTCATTATTTAATGTTGTTTTGTTTGTGTGTGTGTGTGTACAACGAAGTCTCTTTGAGAGGAAAATTATAATTTAAAGATCTTAATACCCCCTTATTGTTTAATTACTTCACACAACTATTAAAGAATCCCTATATGAAGTTACATGAGGCTACATTTACTGGTGTGCTTCCCTAGATGATGTAAATAGTCTAAGTGTCATGTTAGGGGGGCATTACGGACCTCAGGAGTCCGCCCTTGGAGGCTTGGAGAGCGGATAAAGAGAGGTGTATTTACTGGTGTTGAG